GTGGGGGGGAGGAGGAGGAGGTGGTAGAGGAGGTTTCCAAGGCAGGGGAGATTATGGTGGAAGAGGGGGTTATGGTGGAAGAGGGGGCTATGGTGGAAGAGGCTACGGAGATCCATATGGAGGAGGAGGTGGTGGTGGTGGTGGTGGATATAGAAGATACTAAAAACTACAAAAATCAGATAGCAGTGCTTGCTTCTTTATAGATACATTAGACATAGTGTTCTAAATAACATACTTGAATATCATCTTTGAAGTAAACACCATGTTAGACTCCCTGGTGATACCATTCTTGAATTGTTAATATGTAAGAACATTGTTTTTTACTACCAGTTGATCTCTCAAATGAAGTGAAGACTTTTTCCATATTCTATGTACCCTTGAGCATGTTGTGTCTTTTTAAAAAACAAAAGAACAAAAATTATTTTTTAAAATGTAAATAATACCATCAAACTTGGAAAATGGAAAGTATTTTATTGTCATGATTGAATTTAGACAGTTACCTGTGTTTTGTTCAGGTTTAGACATATAAATGACCCCACCTGTAATGGAAAGGAATATAGACCCTTGCCTCACCTGTATTGCTGTGGATGTGTTTTGTGGGTTTTTCATTTGGTTTTACAAAATAGGGAAAGGCACTTCCAGTTGTATTTAGTAGGCAGTTGTTGTGAATCATTTTTCTCTCTTATAGGAGGAGATTCCTCTCTAGCTGTGTTTCTGTTAAAGTTTCACTAATTGAAGCCCAAGTTTTTTACTGTACATACTTATTGTCTAATTGGATTTGAAATCTGCATGATTTTGTTTGACAAAGCAAAGTTTTAAGATTGAGGTCAGAAATACTTTAATGGAGCAAAGATACATACCAGCTTCACATGATGGTGTGAGAAATAGTCCTATAAACTGGTCTCTTCATCATATATGCTCTCACTTTAGATATCCAAATATTAAAAGACAGGCTGACCTGTATCACACAGAATTAAGGCAGTAATTTCCTGCTTCAGTAGATCAAGGGTAGGGCTAAGGCATCCCTTGGTAATTCTGATTCACAGCTAGATTTGGGAAACACAAAGTTAGGGAATGGCTATATGTGGTTTGCTAGCTGGAGCAGTCAACGTCTTAGCTATCAAGAGTTGTGAATCTGAATCATGGCACTAGGTCAGGGGTGCTGTGGATTGAAATGACCTTAGTTCTCAAGGAGTGATCTGTCCTCATTTGTCAAATGAGGAATGAGACACTTAGCGTCATCTCGGGTTGTTTCATAAAGACCTAAGTACAAATACAATTTGTTAAAAACTTATAGAGGGCCTATTTGAATGCCTTAAGATGTAGGGCAAGTAATGTATTTTTCTCTTAGTGTAGAGAGTTAGAGAAAAAGAGCTGGTCCCGTAAATTTTTTCAATCTCAGTGTAAAATCTGTATCTCATTGTAGGCTTCTGGTCAATACCTGTGCATAACAACTTAATGTGATCCAACCAACTCAACTGATAGAAAGCTGAATTGTTCCCGGTGGACAAGTGGTATTTGATGTTTAGCAAGTTTTTTTGTTGTTATTTTTTTTGGTAAACTCTGTGGTAAAATCTAAAATAATGTTAAAACCTTAAAAGTAACTATTGAATATTCTGTAATCTTAGACATGTATTTTTCAAGCTAACCCTTTGAAGAAATGTGTTTAAGGTAGGAAAATATAAAATTTTTTGGTTATTTTTTGTGTGTGTATATTTAATGAAAAGATATAATTTCATTTGTGATAGCTGAAAAAAGACTTTCCATAATTAAGAAAATACCTTTATCAGTAGTTATGAACTCTGAAAAATAATTTTTAAAAAATTTTCAGAAAATATTTGAGTAAAATATTTCAAAAGTTATTTTAAAATCTTCATTTAAAACCTTTACTTTCTGCCTCATTTCTTTTTTGGTAGCATTAGTTGCTGATGAAGGAGATTTACAACTACTTTCAACTTTTTTACCACTAAAGGTTTATGATAAATATGGCAGAAACAACAGTTCATCATCAGTTTCATTAGATTTCCGTAAGATTTCTTTGTACCTTTATAGGAGCGCTGCTTGCGTTATTCACTGCAATCACTTATTTCCTATCAAAGTTTAGCACTTGCTCCTGGAATCATGTTGGAGCTGAAACCACTCCTATGTACACATCCTATAAACCTTAATTGAATGAAAAGCTGAATCAGGTAGACTCTAATATTTTACTCTTTCTCCTGTAAAGTGGGATTTTCCTGATAATCTTTGTTCAGTAAAAACTTTTGTAGAACAGTTTGCTGAGCAGTATCTAGAATAGCAGGAAGGAGATTTGGGGCCTTAATGTGAAAGGCCATAGTGTGAAAATATTTTATAAATTGAGTGCAATACACCATGGAGTATGATGAATGGCATGCTACTGCTTCCTAAAATCTAACACTTTTTTTGATATCTCCTTTTCATTCTTGTTTGCCTGGTTCTCAATTTCATTTTTTAATTACCTCATTGTCCTTCCCCTTTTTCTTCTCTTTTTGTCCAGCCTGGTATCTAATAGCACATAAAGACATGATCTTACTGGGAATTTCTGCCTAAAGTAGTCATCTTTCCTTTGGACCATATAAAGAGCATGTATTCTGTCCATACATAATCACCACACTATTACTCATAAGCACGCATCGAAAGGGAAACAAGGGTTTCTTTGAACTTACTTTTGTTCTGCAGATCAGGGAAACCTTGCCTCATTAAACAGAAAAAGGAAAACACTTTAAATAAAAAACATCTTATTACTTGTATTTGTGACAAGAGGCGGCATGACAACCTAAAAAAAATTTGTGACCAGAAAAATGTCCTGAGCAGTGATACTATCTATACCTTGGAAGGAGCACAGGTGAGAGAAATGTGGGGATGAAAATGGGGGAGGTGAGCAGGTAGTTTAATCTCGCCTTCAGGATCAGGCAGTCAGTGTGACTTCATTACTTTGTATGAAGTATTATGAATTGCCCAAATGATAAATACACACCCATCTAAATGTTCCAGAATGCATTCCACAGAGGAATTTGACTGAAATGTTTCCTCTCTCTCCATTGGTTTGGTTAAACAAAAATTAGCTGGCGATTAAGGGAAAATTGTGGCTATGTCTGATCATTCTAAATAATCATGACCACAAATAAATTGCCCTGAGTAGGTCTGTAACCTGGATTGAGCTGTCGTTACCAATTTTATACATAGCTTCAAAGGATCTCTTCTTTACTTGCTATTTTGCTTAGATGAAACTGTGGAATTAAAAGCCACAGAGAAGGGACAACCTCAAGTCTGTCTCCTTTAATGTTAAGTATTTATAGACTTAATATTTGGGGACCACTGTAAGTTATGAATAAGATGGAAAGAGACTGAATATTTCTATAGTGTTACTTCTTTGTGTTGTAAAAAGATTTAGAAAATTTTAAACTGAATAGCTGCTGTGCCTTTCCTTCCAGGAAAACTCAATTTGATTAATAGAATAGGGGAGTGGTCTTAGCTGTGGATTATAGTAAAAATTCAGGTAAAGTGTTTACATGGTCACGAAGTAGAAGAAACACAAGACATTTATGTTGTAAGGATCCTAATGTCTTTTATCATATAAATATTACACAAAGAAAACTTACATTAGGTATCAAAAAACTTTACAATCTGTACATTTTTTTTCTTGCAGTTCTATATTATACATTTTTAGACAGAAATTCACAACGGGCCAGTAAAAAGGTGAGTCAGCAAAGAAAAAGAGAAGTGATCCTGCTGTTAATAAAACAAGATTTGTCCTTGTTTTGGCAGATAAATACCTGGCCAAACTAAAGTCGTGTGAGATGCAAAAACGTGCACTCGGCTTGATAAGCCAAAACCTTGCTTTTATTTTCTTATTATTTCTGTGATCCCTCTAGCCCCATGTTGCTCAACGCAAATACTATTAACTTGTATACTATACCTCGTTGCCCCTTGCTGGACTGTAAAAACCTGTGATGAAACTGTTTCCTCTTATCCATTTCAGTGATAAATTCTGCAGTACTGGATACTGTTTAGCCATTGCTAATTTGACTAATTAAGGGGACTGCGACCTTTTGAATCCCTATAGATTATTTATATAAAAACTGGGGATCTTTATTTTGAATGCAGAGTAGGAAGAATGAAAAAAATTGTGTTCCTTGACTGTTTTAAAAAATTGGAGTATACCGTCTTTGGTCTATATAAAAGGAAAAGAAGAACAGTGAAGAATATGAATTTTAGAGTTTGTCCTAACTCATGTTTGTCCTATAAAAAGCAAATAACAAAGTGTTACTATTAAGTTTATATGCCAGGTAGTGGGCCTAAGCAGGCCTGCTTTGGGTATTTCTGAGTTTAAATTTGGAAAAGGGTAAATATGTGTGTAAAATGATTCTTTATAATATAATGAAACACTAACTACAAGTTAGTTCTACATTACTAAAATTCAGTGCAAGGAGGAATGCAAATGGGAACTGGCCTTTCATCAAAGAGAATTCCTAAATGATCTGAATCCTCCAGGTAAGCAATACTGTATATATACTTCGTATTCTTACGAAAACTTGGTGCTATTGGCTTTAGGTTTGGAACTTTTAATTGTTAACATATTCTTGGCAATTGGACAACTTGTTTATGAATTTCAAGTCAGTCTAGTAGCAGACTTAATAGGCATGGAAGCTAAGTACCCCCAAAAAGGAAATGATCATATGTTGTTTTTTTTTTTTAAGAGAACTAAAAAGAGGCTGACAAATGAATTTGTGAATAGTTGCCCAGGCAACTAAATGAGCCCATTTATTATTAACCTGCATAATAGAAAACTCACAGGATTGTTACTTGTGATTTTGCCAAACAATACAATTTTACCTTGTGAGCAATTTCATCTTGTGACAAACTGAACTTTTATTTGTGACTTTGTATAAATGACTAAAACTTGTTTTATTCACTTCCACATTTTATGGAGGAAACAAAATTCCAAGCCACTTGCATGCCTGATATTGTATATACATATTATATACATATGTACACACAGCTGTTATTTAAGCCACTGATCCAATTAGCTTATTTCTAAATAGTATTAATAGTGAAGACAGTTAAGCACAAATTCAGTTAAAAAAGAGGACTTTCAAAATAGTTTACTTCAGAGATAAAGATGGAACATGAAGAGTTAAACAGACTCTTCATAGATTTTTTTTTTTAAAGCCATCAATTCCTAATTCTATCCACTGTAGAATATATAAGGACAAACATGTTTGCGTTAGGTTTATTTTAATTAGACAGTAATATGAGATGGTAATAACTACATTTCCAGGTACCTAATTTGATTATTTTATGATGACTGTTAAGTTGCAAGGCTACAACTATGAGTTGACCTGCAATTGGATGATGTCATGTTTAATAGGCCTCTAAAAAGTTGTGGCTACATGGGTAGAAATTCGCTTCTAGGTAGATATGCTCGTGTGTTATGATTGTAGTGAGGAAGGAGGGTACATAGGCTAGTTGATTAGATCTGAGGTAGTGAAGAAGGAGCCAGGTTCACAAAGTATGCTGGGATACAGAGGAAATCTACTTTTGGAATATGGGTAGTTTTCTATTATTAGCAAGCTTTGGCTGGAACAAAATAAGTCAGTTTGCAGAAAACACAGGGTAAGAAGCAAATACATTTTCCAGAGATTTTAGTTTTAAGGACGAATCAGCCAGGCAGGCCACTGAGATGCCCCTTTGTAAGGAAGTGACAGTCGTGTTTTAGATCGCATACTTTTGATGAACGTCAGTGTATGAATAGCAAAGGTTTTTCATTCTTTAGTTTTCCCCCTTTGAGTCAACTGACTGAAAAACAATGCTGCACATTAGGAATCTTTTAGGTAAATAAACAATAACAGGCTTTTCCTTTTAAAGTACTGTTTTAAAGCTGGTCAATCTAAAGTTCCTCAGGTCTGTGCGTTACAGTTTAGGAAATGAGATCTCCACTATACTCATCTACAGATTGTGCTACTTGAGTTTCTGGGCTAAGAACAGTCACTCTGCTCCATTTGAGCTAAGACATGATTGCTTTTTTCAAGCTGGAGGGATTCTATTTTCTTCTGTGCATATTTCAGTTGAATCTTTAGGGCATCATTATCTGCTTTCAGAGTATTTATTTCCTAAAGGGAAAGGAGAATGAGGTATGTTAATAAAGCAGCAATGAATAGCAGATGAATTACAAATTGAGAGCTACTTTTGATTGGCATCTCTTATTCACTGTGGCTGAGAATTAAAAACTATTTTCAAGATAGTTATTTTGCCCTGAATAGAAAATAGCAAGTTAAATATCAAACGAGCATTTGTAAGCAGCAGTTAGTCTTTGTTATCATATCAAAGTTTGTGAGTGGTTAGCAGGCAGAATAAACCATTTCCGAGCAATAGGTAGATAATGACAAAACTTTTGGATGTTTTCTTGCGGGAGATCTCAACTTGCAGAAACTGTCTCTGATCAGGTCTGAGCCGTGAAAGCATAACTGAGAATTCTTTCATGCGAGGTGTTACAGTTAATTTTATCTAAGTTTTTTCCCCACAAATTACTGAAAACAAATGTAACTTTTTGATGATGTTAAGAATTTTACTCCCCCTCCAAGTTGAGATTTAGTGATCTCATTTGTAGTGGTATCATTATAGAGCCAACGGTTGATTTCCAGTCTTCTGATTTTGAGTCCAGTGTTCTTATATTATCCTATACTGATTACTCCAAGAGAATATTATATATAGACAGTGGGTAATTTGGGATACACTGGGTTGTTTCTCAATCTGAATTATGTAGATAGCTGTCTTAGCTGCTGTATGATATTGAGCACCTGCTATGTGCCTGTACTGTGTGACATGATAATGGAATACCTTCACCTTCACAAACACCCTGAAAATAGGTGGTATACCTCCAATCTTACAAAGGAAAATGTTGCTATATAGTATAAAACTGCAGAGTTGAACCCTGGTATATCTAAACATAAAAGCTTTTATTTGCTTTTGTCCCATGCTGGTTCAGTGGTGCATTATACTTAATATGTAATATTTATTAATACTTATTAATTTACATTACATATTGTAAATACTGACAATTTGACTAGTTATTATGGATAGGACTGTTGAATTACACATAGACTAGTCATTGTAAGGATTATACTTAATGGGAAAGTGGGACACATAATTGTTCCTCTGAAATGCACACAGTGAATTCTGGACCTTAGGTCTATCTGACAAGCCTAATAAGTAAAGAGAGGTGGTGGTCAAAATGGTGAGAGGGTTTACTGCCTCTGATATTGCTGAGTAGGAATTCTAGTCTTCCTACAAGCCACTTCTCAAAGCATTGTTCCCAACCACATTTTTCCCTTTCATCAGCATGTAAAATGTCAAGATTTGAGGCAAACCTTACAGAACATGGAATCCCAGCCCTGTATTTCACAAGGACCAAATAGGTTGTAGAGTTTCACAGCTGGTGTAAGCAATGTCTGGGACTGAAAACCCCAATCTTTGCCTCCAAGACCAAAGTTCTTTCTATTCTATTGAGTTCATTTTTTGAGGTTTCTTTCATCGTTTTAAAAGTTGCATTTGGCAGTTTCTGTCCCTAAAGAGGAAGGGGTTTGTCTAACCCACGTTTTGCCACCTTCTGACTTGGTTTTTATGGCACATCTTAATGATAACTCTGAGCAAGAGAGTACCATTCATCCGGAAAATCCGTTGTTCTTTTTTCATATGTTTCTCTAAATATTATGTTCTTTGTACCAAGCACCAAATCAAGAGTTCCACATACGTTGTCTAACTTGTTTCTTCACATGTTTCTCTAATTCAGTTTCTGGGGGTCTGACAGGAAAGGTAGAGCATTGAGGACAATGCAGGGAACCCTGAAGCCCTCATGGACAGTTTTTCACTCTGTAGAATATAGAACTATATAAGGAATCTACTAGCTGGATATTGGTTTTGTGTTTGCACTGACAGGTCTCCAGAAACACAGTGCAAACCTTGATGTTTTTGGGAAGAGCCAGAAAGGCATTCCTTCTTCTCTAATAAAGTGAATAGTAGTGTTGATATTAATGTGTCCTTGCTTCCCTGTCTCTAAAATGGCTTAGTTACCTATAATTAAGAAACTACTATGCCATGGGACAGTAGGTTCTTACCAATTATAGGTAACCTCTTGAGCCAGCCCTGTGAGTTGTATACTCAAAAAGAAGTATAGTCATGATTGAACCTTCAGAATTGAGCATCTCAACAGTTGGCTGTTGGCTCTTCTTCCTTCTGCTGTTCCCATCTCCTACTTTCCTTTTTTTTTTTTTTTTTTTTTTTTAAAGATGGAGTCTCACTCTGTCGCCCAGGCTGGAGTGCCATGGCTTGGTCTCAGCTCACTGCAACCTCCACCTCCTGGGTTCAAGTGATTCTCCTGCCTCCGCCTCCTGAGTAGCTGGGATTATAGGCACCTGCCATCATGCCCAGCTAAATTTTTGTATTTTTAGTAGAGACAAGGTTTCACCATGTTGGCCAGGCTGGTCTTGAGCTCCTGACCTCAAGTGATCCACCCACCTCTGCCTCCCAAAATGCTGCCCAGCCCTGTTTTCCTATTTTTAATGTCATTGTTCCCTTCTCTCAAGCCTTGGTACCATGTTTCCAAACTCTTGTTCTCCTTTCCTTGGTAAACTTTATTTTGTCTTTTCCATTGTCTCTGTTAGGTACCTGGTAATTAGGACATTGTGAGCCTAACATTGAAAAGCAGCTCCTGTTGTCATAATTGTTAATATTTTATACATTATATTGCTCTATATTATATTCAACTGTGCATTTGCTTGCTGCTGTTGCTTTCACTATTCTAATATGTGTAAAAGAGCAGCATATTCCCTGATGTGTTAGAAAAGATTCTCCTGGTTTATGTTAGGAGGGAGGCATTTTCTATGGTGAGCCACAATACACTCACCTTTCTCTTATTGTTGTTGCTGTAGAACTAAGATCACTAACTTCTCTTAGAAAGATGCTTACGTAACCATAATGAACCCAAACCATAACCCTGATGGAACATAACAAGGAGACCTCTAGGGAAGGAGGATTTAGGCAAGTTCATTTTAGTTCCATCTAGAAAAGGAGTGGTGTCAGCACAGTAAAGCTGACCAGTAGATACTGTGGTTTTTCTCCATGAGCCTAGTAAACAGTGCTTTGGGCACTGGCACCAGCACTCCGAAATGCCACCACCTGTGTGGTGACGGGGAGCCCTGTATAGCCTGTGCTACTTGTGTAATGTGAACCAAGGCCCCCAGTGGGTTGTGAGAAAGCTGGAATCAATCCATCCTTTCTTCCTTCCCTCCCTGTCTCCCCCTCCCCCATTTCTCCCCTCCTCCTTTTTTGTTTTAGACTGCTTGTAATCAGCCGGATCTGAATCTTCAGTTTCCATGCTCTGTCCTGGTTTGGCTCCACTTCTCTATGATAGTCTGAAAAAGGAAAAGGAAAAGGAAGGTACCTGTTCCAGCTCTTGGTAGGTAGGCAGTCTCAGGTGGCGGAGCTCCTCCTTTGATTTTATGAGGGAGTCTTTATTCTCCCACTTGACAAAAGCCCGCTTTCTGACCAAGACCGGGCTGGGACATGGAGAGGTGGGGCTGGGAAGCACATAAAGAGTATCCTGGGCTGTCTTCCTTGGGGAAGATAGCGCAAAGGGACCTGAAGGGCTCTCACTGCCAATCCAAGGCTGTGATTCAGTCTGGGTGGCCTTGTGGGCAACAGTCCTCTTCAGCCGAAGAGAAATCTTCTGTGAGGACACTCCCATCAGCATGATGGTCCGATCCTTACTCTCCTCAGCGTGTTCCACAGCCTCCCCATTAGGGAACGTAAAAGGTCCTTCCTCAGGTGCTGTAGGAAGATACAGGACATGCTAGTACTCTGGCTCAGGAAAGCAGAGACTCAAGACTGAGACGTTAGTTTCAATGCGACCTTTCTTATTGTTACAGGAGTTCCATATGTTCAGAGGACCCATTTTCAGGCACCCAATTTAGGGGGTAAGTGAGGGCTGAAATCCAGGGGCTTTGCTGGCCAAGACATGGCCACTGGTGTCAAGCTACATCCACCCTGAGAAAGAGCATTTTCTTCTGTTTGCACACGGGTTGCCTAGAGGGTTTCTGTTTTTGGAGGTAAGTTGAAGCCCCTGCCTCAGTGCTATAGAATTTCATAAAATAAAGAAAATAAGAACAGTACATAGACAGAAATGCTCCATACATACTTTTTTTTGACTCTGAAATTTGGGAACCCTCAGCATTCGTGTCTCAGTCTTGATATAGATACCCTCTAACAGATAAGAACTCTCTGGGGACCCGTTTGTACAATGGGCACAGCTTAACCATGAGAAGGAAGTTTTAGCCTTGTGGAAATGTACCTTAAAATGTATTGCCCTTGTTTGATACTGAAAGGAAAAAGGTAAGTTTCTCTGGTTTTCTTCAACTAAGACCCACTACCCAGGACCCAGCTTAGTAATGTTAGCCATAAGAAGTAATTTCCTGGAAAAGTAGAGTAAGAGCAGATGCATTTGAGGTGAGTGATAGATAGGCTTTAAGATAAGCTGCAGACCATCTCAGTTTACTTTTTGGAAAGACTCAGCAGTAATTAAAACATTGGATAGTCTGACTTTGAAGACACGGGATTAGTATAGTCAAGATGGCTTTAAAAAACAACAAAAAAAGTTTTCTAATTAGTATTTGACCAGAATCAACCAGTTGTAAAACCAGAAATCTTACAAAGATCCTAGTTTAACTCTTGCCAAAGAGAACATAATTTAAATTAACATTTAATATTTATCCATTAAAGCTCAAAATTGTAATTACATAGTTATTTAAGTGCTCAAATATTTAAATTGTTATGGTCACCCTAAAATAATTATTGTCTTTTTTGGAGGAGTGTTATGGGTGATGATTTTTTTCTATCTCCATTTTCCAACTTTTCTGTAATACAGTTATATATTCTTTTTACCAAACATAAATTGTCAAATTATGAATATAATCACGTCCATTACTTAGGTTGAATTCCTAGACATACAGGGAGCTTGGGACAGAAATTTGGGCACTATACACTTTGAGGAGCAAAAGGAAGAAAGCAGTAAGAACAAAAAGCAACAGCAAGTCCTTCAAATTGCAGGAAGAGTCCTGAGAGACCACAGTGTTATAAAAATTAGGAGAGGTACAAGTTTCAAGAAAGTGAAAGTTGATGAGATTGAGAAAGATAGTAATGGGCTAAAAGAAATCACTGGAAATTTTGATTTGATAAGCAGATACCATCCCAGATAATAATGAGGTGGAAACAACTAAGAATGGATGATATCCAATAGTCATTTTTGCCATTATAAATAGACCTTGACTTTTAGCAACTTTATAATAATATAGTAATTTTCATTTTGTTGCCCATGATACATGTATGTTTATCCTACCTGTTGGTCTACTTCCTGAAAATTACTTATCTTACCAGTGTGGGGCAGGGTTTGGAGCAAGAGGAGAGATGGCCTGGAGAGGAGAAATCTCTAACAGCAGCCCCTTCAGGGATTCCTTTTGAGGTCTCAGGTTCAGGCTGTTCTCTGCTACCTTTGCCACTTGAAAATCTGCATTTTATGTGACAGAATTGTGGTGCCCTAAGGTTATGTGTAACTCTGAAAATACAGAGTACATGAATGAAATATAGGGTATAGGCCTATTTTTCACAATGGTGTTTGTGATTTTTGTTAAAAGTTGAACATCAAATCCTTAGTTGATTAGCATATTCTTTCTAAGACCCTGAGAGGATTTTTTCCCCCTAAGAACAAAACATCCCAAAAGTTTGAAGTCAGCCTGTGTTTAGATAGATAGTAAGGGGAAGGATTTAGGAAGACAGCAGAAAATTTGTACTTGGCTGACGTGATAAAAAGGAATGTGGATTTCTTACATGGAAGTAAAGCACTAAAGCTTTGATCTAATTGATCAACAAATGCATATTGATATATACTACTGAACATTAGAAATGCTTCAAATGCAGAATGTATACTATATGGACTTAAAGTTTTCTCTAGGCATCTGTTGTAACTATAGTGGCCTTACCACTTTAGGGAGCTTATTTCAAAAGAGTAATGATATTAACATATGGTACATAGGTGTTAAACCCGATTTTAAGTGCTTTATATAAATAAACTCATTTATTATTTCCCTTTTTGGTTCTAATTAGAAGTTACATGGCTTCTTATATTAAACTGGCACTAACCTAATAAGCATTGGATTTTTGCTGAAGACCTGTATGTTCTTCAGTTAGTCAAGGTGATCAGTGTTTTGACATGCTGGCTGACCAGCCAGCTCCGAGATCAGGGCCTAGTACAGCACTATAAAGCCTCGTGCCCCAACCCTCCCCAACAAGCCCTTTATGTTACTCTTTTTTAAATAGCTCCTCATTTTATCATATAGACAGGCACTTGTCATTTAAGACTCTCTAGACTGTCTCATTTTTCTACTTCATCTCTTACCTAAATCGCCTTAACACCTTTTTTGTTGTTGTTGCTCACTATCTCAAGAGTACTAGAGCTGTTCTGCCCTTTGCCTTTTGCTCCTACTGTACATCCTATCTGGAATGTGCTCTGCCCTCTTGCCATAACTTAATTCTACCCTTCCTTTAGACTTAGCTGAAATTCCACCTTCTGCATAAAGTCCCAACAGCCCCAGTACAGCGATCTCTCTGCTATGTCCTCCTGTCATTTGCTGTCACTGCAACCTATTTGGTTCTTAGCATATACTCTTGCATTGTTTCTAAACTGCTCTATATTGATATATTATCTTCCCCCTAACTAGAACTACTCCATGAAGACAGAGACAGTCTGTTCTGCTTCTTTGCACTTTAGATCTGGGGCATCTCAAACATACTTAAAGTCATTTCCTTATTGTACTGTTGTTTGCATTTTAACATAAGTGAATTTGCTAGTTTATTTCTTGAATGTTGAATGTTTTGGCTTAGTCCTAGGATTTTTCTTGTATGATTTGGAATTTTAATCTGCAAGCTCCATGTGAGTGGGAGTTTTGCCCCCCACCCTTCCTTTCTATATTTAGCCTTCTGTTTCTAGAATTTCAACAATCACTGCTACCTGGCCCCTCAGGGTCCTCCAGACTAGGACCTGGTCTTAAATTAATGGCTTGGGGCTCCTCTCCTGGAGAAAAATTGGGGATATCATAGACAGTCACTCAGCTACTAGAAGACTGCCTGTGGCTAAGTCTGCTTCCCGCTGCTAAGTGATAGTCACAGTTTTTTAAGCATTGGATTTTTCCTTCTCAATTTTAAGCAGTAAGTCTGGTTCTGGTCACCTTTCATGCATAGGTGGTCTCTGTTACTATGCAGCAATCAAATTCGCAGTTGCCTCTACTTGCTTCTAGACATGCAGCCAAGCAGACTAGTAGCTTTCGCATCTACTCCTTGCTGTGTGTTTCTAGTACATGTCTGACCTGTGAGATGTGTGTCTTTGTTTTTGAATGCACTGTGCCTTTTAATATTATTTATATACTTTGTATGTGAATTTACATTATATATACACACACATACATATGCATGTACATACATATTCTCTCTATCACTGTTTTGGGTTTGGAGCTGGGGATAGGGTGGGATAGTTAACTGTTAACTTGAGGGACTGTCCTGGCCAGAAGTCAGTATCTGTGCTTGGTGTAGGTGCTCAATAAGTACCTGCTGATTTTTATGCCTAACTAGGACTCTGCTGTTCTTACACCTCAAGTCTGAGACATAGGCACCATGGAGCTAAAATCTAAAACTGGGGGAGGAGTCAGCCCTGGCCTAGCTGTTGAGGTTCAATTTAAACTCTAACATAGAGTCATGAGGTAATCTTTCCTCCTCTAAAACTTTTCGCTTCCTACTTCACTTTCCAAGATGAATGTTCCCAGTGCCTACTTACCATGGAGCAGATCTTTGGCTCCCAATGAGCAAAGGTTGGACACTGGCCCCACAGAGGTGTTGTTCTCTGTGGGAGCTACTGGGTTCTTGGCTCGCTTCTTGCACTCAAACACAACCAGATCTTTGCACTGTTTGTGGCAGTTCATCCCGCAGTCTGTGGACAAGACATCCTGGGTCAAGAAGTCTTTCATTTTTCTCTCTTCCCCAGTGTGTCTCACAACCAAATTCATGCAGTGCTTTCTTGTCACACATGTCTGTTCTATCTTCTGGAGCTAAGACACAACATTCCTAATGAAGCTAGCATTCTTCTCACTTTGTGAAGCCCAGAGCTCACATTCTTAATGTAGCCCTTATCAGTGAGTCTCAGCATCAGAAGCAGTATCCTGATACCTTGGAGGGAAGAGATGGTGTCCTGGTATCCCACACATTCTGCCTACTCTAGTGACACCCTCTGGAAACGCTCAGCTGTTAGGTCTTATTTTCTTTCTTGCAGTAAAAGGTTTCCTTTCTTTCACTCCTGAATTCTCCTAGTCACAAGGAAGGACAGTTATGTCCTGAATGATAAAGGGCCTTTAGTAATTGTTTATCTTCTGTTCCAGAAGAGATTCTATCCTTTTCACTGGGGACCCACCCTTCCATGACTATATGGGAGCACCATCTCCTACCAGCCATCCCTGTTCTAGGCCAACATCAACAGAAAGTGGATTTGATCAAGGGAAACTGCCTAACTGTGCAACCAGGCATTTCTCTCTTCGGTGTGGTGGTCATTCAACGAGGGTGTCCTAGGAAACCACTTTGGGGATGAGACTCTGAACTCTGCTGAGAAGTTGTGGACTAAATGGACAACTACTATGGGCAAAAAAATGTTTTAGAGGTGGGACTCTTAAGACCAGGTGATATGGTTTAGCTCTGTACCCCCATCCAAACCTCACCTTGTAGTGCCCATATAATCCCCATGTGTCATGGGAGAGATCCGATGGGAGGTAATTGAATCATGGGGCAGTTACCCTCATGGTGTTCTCACGATAGTGAGTGACTGCTCATGAAATCTGATGGCTTCATAAGGGCTTTTCCCCCTTTTGCTCAGCACTTCTCCTTCCTGCCACCATGTGAAGAAGGATGCGTTTGCTTCCCCTTCTGCCATGATTGTAAGCTTCCTTAGGCCTCACCAACCCTGTGGAACTGTGAGTCAATTAAACCTCTTTCCTTTATAAATTACCCAGTCTCAGGCAGTTCTCTATAGCAGCGTGAGAATGGACTGATACACCAGGAAAAACAGTTAACAATATTGAGTCTTACCTTTACATCGATATCCTTGTTTGATCACTCCCCAGAGCTATGAAACAAGAGACAGAATATACCACATGTCATTCATCCATCTGGTGTGAGGCTACAAGGTGACATTCCTTTGTTTTCCTTCATTCTACTCTCTAGCTCAAGTGGGAAGGAAACCTCATTTATCTCTCATGTCTTGTCCCTTCTGACCTTAAATTAAACATGAGAAGAGTTTATGCTGATCAAAGTTTCTCAAGAAGCAGCTTTTTTTTTTTTTTTTTTTTGGAGT